TGGGTGTTGAATTGTGTAGAAAAAGTAGGAGAGAATATGCAAAGTAGAAAATAAAATATCAGAAAAGTAAGAGTAATTGAGTTTTAAACGAAAAACCTACCCAAAAGGGAAAGTGTAGCAAATAAAGCATTTCAGCTCAGCTGGTCGTTAGGTTACCGTGTCTAGTGGAAGGTCTCGAGTTCGAAACCCGCTAGGCACATAAGGGTTTGAAACTCAATGAGCTGAGTTTCAGCCTTGATTACTCTAGGCTCCCTCCAGCCCCCCTCTCCCAGACCCTCTAAGTAAAAAAAGGGGAAAATGTAGTAAACTTTTATATACATCCCAAATAAGAAAATGTATCAAACTTTTAAATACATACGTTTTTTCCGTGTTATGATTTCATTTTAGAGACTCATTACGACATCAAAATCATACTCATAACACTATAAAAAGAAAGTAATTAAAAAATTATACTTTTAGCATTTTACATTTAATGCTTAATTAAGACAAATTAACCGCATATAATAATATCCATAGCATTACATTATTAATTTATTATTCTAAATTACTCTAAATTATTAATTTTGAACCTAGATTATTAGTATTAACCTGATCGGTTTGTGGCATTTATGTTTAACTTTTACATTTATAAGTACCGGAAATTGATTAATGGGTAAAGACTGAAAACAAATGAATATTTAACAATTGTGCTTATTTTACAAATTTTAAAAATTTGGTTTTCCTTTTTAATTAAAAATAACAATGATAGAATGAAAGTTTTTTTTTGGCAGAATGATAGAATGAAAGTTGGAATACTAAGGTTATGATATTGTTAGAAATCAATTGCCTGTAAGGCTGCCACTGGAGAGCCGAGAAGAATCCCCCTATGTGAAGACCTAGATGATTCTGATGAGCTCCTCAATTAAGTGGAGAAGGTGATTCTGTACACAAAGTGAAGACTTCGAAAATTTTAATTTGAGTTGAGACTTAGCCATTCTGGCCGTTTGACGCATTACACAGTTAAGATATAATTAAAGAAATTTTGGATCAACATAAAAACAAATTACAAATTATAGGGTCTAATATGGAAAAGAGCCTTCTCAAATCATATATAAGTAAAAATTACAAGACCTAAAAAGTTTCAATATTTTGGACTCAAAGGCAGTCGCCCTTTCTTACACAGTTACACTCATAGAGCAACCCCAATTATATTGTGCTTACAATTATTAAGAAATAATTTCTAAAACAATTTCAAAAGAGAAACTTTCTTTGTTCTTCCAATCTTCCTTTTAACCTCAAATATGTAAAATAGGAAGATATGGTTTTAGCTTTTTTATTCAAATGATCATTATAAGTTTTTAGTATGAATTTTTTAAAGTTCATTAGACAACATATGTCACACATTCCTTTTAAAATCATTGAGCGAAGAACTGAAAAGTATACAAGAAACTGAATGCATCTCATATTTATAAAAAAAATGAAGGAAAGAATTGACCAATAAAACGAAGAACTTGAAAAGTATCCAACAAATGCATCTCAAAAACTGAATGCATCTTTTGTTTGGTTTTTGCAGGTTTTGCTTCAGTAAAAGATAGAGGCCGGGGCTTACTGTAATACTGAAGTTGGAGAGATTAAGGGTTGATTTGGATATATTGATGTAATACATTAGACATTAAGGGTTGATTTGGATATATTGATGTAATACAATGGATATGGATTATGGAGTTAAGACAATGAGGAACACTCTTGTTATTTTCAGTTTGTGGGCACTTTTGATATTTTGGTACAAGATTAATCAACTTATACACTCATTTGCAATTGTAATAGCTTCTTAGTATATTATTTAAACCTCATAAGGAGACAGATTTATTGCAAAAGAAGCAGGAGAAAAAAAAGTAATGACCGGTGGTCTGGTAATAGATTTGGAGGCGCTTGGAAAGCGTAGTTGGATCTCTTGCGGCGCTAAATATGTACCTTAGTAGGTTATTGAAAAGCACCTCATGTTTAGCGACGCTTTTAGAGTGTTATACCGATGCAAAAGATTAGCGCCGTGAGAAGGTCTAGCGACACAAGCAAAGCAAGCGCTTTCAAAAGCGCCGGTAAAAGTACTTCCGACGCTTTTTAGCGCCTCTACAAGTCAATATATAGCGTCTTAAAAGCTCCTTTTCCTACTAGTGTACCCCACCCATATTTGATTATTTTCTAATTCGAAATCGGATCCATAACCAGGGGCGGAGCCAAGGGGGTCAGGGTTGTCAGCCGATCCCGCTAAAAGTTTTGAGAGTACATAGCTCTGCAATATCTTCGATTTGATATATTATGGCCCCCGTAACTCATTACGAGTAAAAAGTTATGACTTCTGAAAAATCAACACTATCTAAAAGTAAAATCAGCAAAATTTGATGCATAATACTGAATATTTTCCGAACTTTTATAAATAACGTATAATGAACTCATCATTACTTATGTGACATGATTCAGAAACAGAGCAAAGACCATCTATCTTATTGCTTATAAATGCATATTTATCTTGCGCACAAATGAAACATTCAACTCGAACATTGTCTAAAAATGATCTACCATTTTCATTTTGTACATAATTGATTTTCGACCACTCTGGCCCGTTTTTCTGGCTCCGCCATTGTCTATATGAAAGGGGGAAGGGCGGGAATCTGAAAACAAAGTCTGCATGAACTACATTTGGGAATCGTGAAAGAACTGGCAGCAAACAAACACAAACATTTGGGAAGCGTGATGTATAATTTAATTAAATGCATAATTGTTAAGACACGGGGCCCCTTATGAAAAATGATGACACGATTATAAAAATGGTCGGATGAAAAAAAATGGACCGATGAAAAAAATGAATGATTGCATGACCCAGACGAAGTGTCTGGTGGTGAGGAGGACTACTCCTTCTATCAGGTTGACCTTTTAAGATGGAACCCCGAGTCTTAACAATAACCGTCCTTATATTTTTCCAAGGCATTTACATTTAAAGGTACTTATACACATTATATATTTTTCCAAGGCATTTACATTTAAAGGTACTTATACACATTATATATTTAACTCTCTGTTTAATAGCATCTGAAATTTTGAAAAGCCACATACTACGTATATAAGTATGTTGAAATTTTATCGAAGTCACACGGTCGATACTATTTGTTTGGTAATGTGAAGAAAATATTTCTTCAGATATTCACTTATTCGAGGATGAAAAGGTAAGACATGGGGATTGATCTCTCATATGAGTAAATTCTTTTTTTAATAAATATATAATATACGTACTCCGTATAATCTACTACAGAGTATGCACTAAACTTTCCTATCTTTCGTTTTACAAAAATGCTTTCTAGAATGAGTAAAGGGTCAGTTTGGTCCTCGAAGTTGCAAAAAAGGGGTCAAATAAGTCCTTATATAGAAGATTCTGTCCGGACGTGCCATTTGAGGTGGCTCCCGATAGAATTTTTTGATGAAATTTTTTGAGCATCTTATTCATTAAGTCTTGTTTACTCATACCAAATTTCAGCTAACAATTCAATCGGGGAGACATTCAAATGAATTCTTGAAGATAACTGCGCTTTTAACGACACAGTTATCTTCAAGAATTCATTTGAATGTCTTCCCGGTTGAATTTTTATTTGAAATTTGGTATGAGTAAACTAGACTTAATGAATAAGATGTTCAAAAAATTTCATCAAAAAATTCCACCGGGAGCCACCTCAAATGGCACGTCCGGACAGAATTTTCTATATAAGGACTTATTTGACCCCTTTTTTGCAACTTCGAGGACCAAACTGACCCTTATCCCTTTCTAGAATATCATCATTACGAGACCATGCATACAAATTACAAACATGCATGTCGAAATGCCAAAAAACAAGTAATTGTAGAATCGAATCCTAAAATCTAAGATGTTGTCTACGATCGATAGTATTTTTCCCGTGTGATTCAAGTGCACAAATATTTGGAATCTTTTGTACTAGTTACGTCCCAGGGACAAGTTCTCACTTTCCTTTTTTGGCAGTCCCAACAAAAAGTTCCCATTTCCCTAAATGGAAAGTTATCCTACATCAAAACAGTGCCAAACAATGTCGAAACAGTGCCAAACAGTGTCGAAACAGTGTCAAACAGTAAAATTTACCCCTCAGTAACTTTATTTCCTTAATACCAAGTATGTGTGAAAGTCAACCCGGGAACTTCTCTCTGGGACGGAGGGAGTATTTAACATACACGCATCTTACTAATTTAGGATGTTTTTATTTGGAATGTAATTTGCTGGTCTGGTCTGGTCTGATATGGTCTGGTATGGTCTGAACTGGTCTGGTCTGGTCTGGTCTGGTCTGGTCTGGTAAGGTCTGGTTTCTTTGTATTTTTATAACTAACCAAGTCTGGTCTGGTCTGATCTGGTCTGGACTGGTCTGGTCTGAGACAAATTACAGTCCAAGTAAAAACATTCTTATACGCATATTGGCTATTATCTTTTGCATCAATCAGTATATGCATGTAGGTATTTAAAATCAGATCTGTTTGACTGTTTTATACTCCGATCCGTAGCAAATTCTTGAAAATAAATGCACCATGTGGTTTTTCATTCTGGAAAATAAGTAGTTAATTTGAGAATGAAGACTACACTTAAAAAAAGGCCTAATATGTACATTTGCTGGATTGTTTGTCCTTAATAATAACAAATACTCCAGTGGTTATCTGCCACATTGTCTTTCTTTCCAATGTCCATTGGCCTGGAGGACGAAGGTCGAGGACGATCACCATATACTAATCTAGCTTAGAGCCATAAAAATTAGAAGATACTTCGTACAGTCCATGTAGGTCAGTAGGTGTATTAATTAATGTTAACTTTTTTTTTTTTTGAAAAGTGTATTTACGCAAAGAATTGAATAGAAAATGAAGAGTAAACCAAAATTAAACTTACTCTTCTTGAATTGATAGATCTAAGCAATGTGCATTATTTATTTTGACACGCCCATTTGATTTTTGATCTTCATCCGACATTCTAATTAATATTATTGATATCCTATTGGGTTTCTATACTTGGACTTTTAGATTTTCTAAATTAGAGAATAAGTTAGGGGATTCGAAGGGTAGATATTTATGAGGATTTCCGCTAGATTTCTTGCTCAAGTATTTGAGATGGAGAAATTGGGTAAAATACATCGTACAGTCGGCTGTACAGTGCGCATGGTACAACCGGCCTTTTTTAAGCTTCTGCGCTCTTCTCGCCCTAGCAATGGCTTCTCCGATCTTCGTCACTGCGTCTGCGCTTCTGTCCCTGCGTCTGCGCCTTCGTCCTGCTTCTTCAATTTTGCTGACTTCTTCTCTCTAATCTCGTGCACCAGGTAGACCGCTCCTCTCGCCGCTCTCTTCTCCTCAAATTCCCCTGCTGCACAAGAGAGGGCTGCTCTTAGGGATTTCTTTGTTGGCCTGTGCTGCGAGAAGGTAGAAGAATAAGGGGAAGGCAGATTGAAAGATGATTTAGGAGTCTGAGTTCATACTTGGCCGACGAATCTGGAATGAACAAACACAAATGAAATTATGAGCATAGTAGACATTCCGAATGAGTTTTTTGAGTGTTCATTTCGTAATTTATATATGCTCATTTGATATTTGTGCAATACTCATTTTAAAATGTCATATTCATGCATATTTCAGAATGAGTTTTATGTTAATCTTAAATGAGTATAACGCTCAAAATGGATGAGCATACACAAATGAGTTTTTTAATATTTTGATACTCATTTTGTAAGTTATGTGTGCTCATTTGGTACTGTTTTATGTTCATTTTAAAAGGTTGCACATGTTAAACATATCATAATTCATTAGGTTCACATATTGAAATTAAATGAACTTGATTATTTAAGACATAATTTAAGAACTTGATTATGGAAACAACAAATCAATTTGGATGGGCTTTGCCAATTGGGAATTTTGGAATTGGGAGGCTTAACATAACTTGGTAATATTGTAATTAAAATGATTATAAAGCATAGAGATGTGAAGACAATTAAGCTAGAGATGCCTCTTTACATTTAAAAAAAAAAAATAAACCTTAAGCATAATTAATTGAGTTTAAAAATTGAAAAAAATAAGAAATTCAGTCACACTACATATAAAGATATATTTTGGGCCTGTTTTTTCTTCTTATTTTTTTGGGCCTAGGGCGGTAGCCTTTGTTGCACTCCCCAGGACCAGCCCTGGATGTAGTAGAGATTATGATTGTTATACTTTATTTCTATGTATAGTACATTGCAGCCTGTTATAAGGTAAAGGTAAAAGATAATCACAGAAAGAAAGAGAACCACCTGAGTGAAATTCAAATTGTTGCTTCCATTCTGTAGCCTTCATGTCCCATTCAATGGCAGTTTTATCCATGCTACCACTTAGAAGATAATCACCCTTTTTGTTCCATTTCAAGGAGTTGATTGGCCCTCTGTGCTTGGCCAATGTACTCATCAGTTCTCCTAAACAAAGATTTTTTTTCACATAATTATTGTACCAGCATCAACAACAACATGCAACAGTCTTAGTCTCAAAAGATTTTGGGGTCCGCTAACATGAAATCATTTTTGGTATAATCTTTGTCCTAGTCTAGGATAAAGGAGGAGGTGCTCCGGTGCGTGACAACCAACAATATCATTAATGAATAATGGACAACAAAATGAATAAACAAATTTGAATGGAAAATGTTTACTCCCCAACTTAACCACTCAGGTAAGCATAAAAATATTAGTTCAAATAGAGGCAGTTCGATTTTAAATTTTCTTACTGACTGCATTATTAATTTGAAGCAACAAAGAGTGAGAAAGACAAATTTAGAAGGAATAAACACTGAAAAACTATTACCGATAGGCGATAGCCACGGAATATGATAAAGCATGGTGCATGCCATCAAGTGATACCTCGTCTATCACATTGTAACTAGTATCTTCCTGCCCTTGATTAATAAAGACATTTAAGAAAGGCAATTGAAGCTTGATTAACTAACACAAAAGGTGGAGATTTGTCATGACATTAACACTAAATTTTTAATGCATTTCATTAATAGGAGTTCTCTCTACAGAGATAGTCTACAAATTCCACATTCCACATCACAAATATCTGAGTAGAGAGTTTACCATGTCTCTACAATATTCGTGCCAGACCATCATAACAACCTGTAGCCAGTAATGTACCATCACCCTGCAAAGAAGACATGCCACAAAATATCACAAATTATGTAGCATGATATACATAACCAGTAAAGATGAGCGGAAAAACAGATGAAGGCTAGCCTCACATTCCAATCAAGTGTTGAAACATCACTGCTTTTCTTATTTATAGGACCTTTGGAAATTGGAATGCTTCAGTAAAGTGACATTTATTGGTGCACTCAGTATTCTAGAACTCCATGGTCCATCTCAAAATGTTCAATTCAGAATCTCCAGGCCTGTTTTACTTGTTAGATTAGCTTGAAAATAAAATAACAATATCAACATTCAAGTCTTAGCCCAAAAGATACTGAGGTCAACTAACATGAATGGAAACAAGATAAGATTATGATAAAAATAAAGATTTAAATATGTTTTTAGTCTCTGTAAATATAGTACATTTTGTTTTACATCCCTGCAATTTTTTTTTTTGTTTTTCGTCTCTCCAATTTGTGTTAGTTTTCTTTTTAGTCCATCATCCAAGATAACAACCTCTGCTTGATCTCAAAATAATCCCGACTTATATATTTCCTCTAATTTTTTCTCATGTTTTTCAAAAAGTATTTAATTTTATTTTTCAAAGGATTTTAATATATATTTTTAAAATATGAATATATATCTAGTTTTTACATTGTTTTAACTCTAATATTAGTCTCAAACAAATTATAAAAAGACAAATTTAAATATTTCTAGAAGATTTATGCAATTGAAAATAATTTTTTTCTAAGTACAGTGGTTTCAGAATTAGAGAAAGACTAAAAAATAGTGCATATTACAAGGATGAAAAACAAAAAAAATTGCAGGGACTTAAAACAAAGTGTGTCATATTTGCAGAGATTAAAAATGTATTTAAGACTAAAATAAATATAGGATAGAGATAAAATGATTACATAAAAAGGATTGAGAGAATATATATATATATATATATATATATATATATATATATATATAATAAAAAGGATAAAAGAATAAAGAACATAAGAAAGATAAATGTTAAAGCATTTATCCCACACCGGAGAGTTATAAAATAATTAAACACTATATAAGTCTTTGGGATACTCCTCCTGTCAGGTTGACCTCTTAGGATGAAACCTTCGAGTCTTAACAAAGTATCAGAGCCAATTCCGATCTAGTCCGGTTCGGGCTAAGGTGGCGTGTTAAAGCATTTGTTCCACACCGGAAAGCTATAAAACAATTAAACATTATATAAGGCTTGTGGCTACTCCTCCTATCAGGTTGACCTTTTAGGATGAAACCTCAAGTTTTAACAATAAAGAAGATAAATAGGTAAAAGCAGTGGCATTGGTACTGCCACATAAGCACCGCCACATATCATAAGCAGTGGCAACAACAGATCTAATGGTGCTTATTATGTGGTTTATTTTACTGATTTCTTATGGAATATATGACAAAAGTAAGCAAATCCAAATAGAAGATTCAATACACAAAAATGACATAGCACAAAGGCCTACATGTCTTGACCAACCTTATCCGAGGGTAAATAAAAATAGTGAAGGAAAAGGAAAATCTCCTTTTACTATGAACATGTAAACATATTTTCACTTATTCACCCTAAACAACATCCCCTCTTACGTGTAATGAAGGAAAAACATAGTTATCACCTAACATGACAAATCCAAAAAGGTTTATCAACCTTTCAAGATGATAATATGATCATGTTCTGATCCACAAAAGTAACAAGGCTCTGATGCTCTCAGCATATCAAATACAAGTTGAGGCCGAGTTGATCAATGACCTTAGAAAATTTTTAATTGGATTGAAATTTTCTAATTTGGTCATATTTGGTGTGGTGTGGTAGATGTATGTTGAAGGTGTATGTATGTTCCTAGTGTATTTCATAACTGTCGATTTATTGTCTAGTCTAATTTAGGTTTGACTTGAACTGAAACCAGCCCAATTGAAAACATTTCTACTATCCTACCCACTCAAAACATATTAACCATGGCTCGTGACAGTGATATAACTAGCTAGAAGTGATGATAAAATAAATTTGAAGCCGCAACATCATAATGAATAAATTTCAACCAGGTAATGTTCAAGGCCATGTGTCCACCCAGACGCAAGATGTAAACTTGATGGACTCCAGGAACATGCAAAAACCTACCACATGATCAAGCAAACATTTTCACTTTGAGCGCATAAACTCCGGTATCCCGAAAAAAAACCACTATTGGAAATATAAAATATTTTACACTTTCACTCATGTAATGTCATGTACAACATACTTACGTGGCTAGCATATCTTAGAGATCCCCTGCACGATTTCCTTTCTCTTTCACACCAACACACTTACATGGGTAGCATGCCTTTGCATGGCCCATGCACAACTTCCTCTCTCTTTCATATTAGTTTCACTTTGTAATATATAAGGTAGGCTAATGTTCAATATATGTAACATATGGATCTCGTCTCTTCGCATCAGGTCTCCAGAATTATAATATCAATTTCACGTTTATATTTTCATTTTTATCATGGTATCAGAGCTGAAATTCCGGATATAATTTTTTTTACCTATCTAACTTTTATTATAATGTTATGGCAGATATGTTTCCACATGTTCAGTCTTGGATAATTGATTCTGGAACTAGTGAACATATCACCTATAGTGATATTAATCATTTTTATATTAATCACACATCGAATCCACCAGTTAGAATCCCTAATGGTGAATCAATTCTCGTTCATGCTATTGGTAGTTTATACTTACCCAATGGGCTCCTTCTTAAACGTGTTTTATACATTCCAAAATTTAAATGCAACTTACTCTCAGTAAGTCACTTAATAAGCGACCTAAATTGTACATTGACCTTCTTTTCAGACTTCTGTATTTTACAAGATTTATCATCGAGAAAGTTGATTGATGTGGGGAGGTTCCGTGATGGTCTATACTATCTGGAGTCCCCATGGAGTGAACGGGTGGCAATGTCAGTCACTATTACTTCTGAATTATATGTCATCAACGTTTAGGACATGTGTCAGATGGAAAGATACACCACATCAGTTCTCTTAAGGGTTTTCGACGAAACAATGAATTTTGCGGCCCTTGCATTCGAGCTAAGCAAACGAGTTTACATTTCCCTACTAGCTCGATTAAGAAAATGTGATTCTTTAAATTGATACATTGTGACATTTGGGGAGGCTATAGATGTGACTCAATCTCCGGAGAACTGTATTTTCTATTCATCGTTGATGGTTTTACTAGAGGTGTTTGGGTTTACTTCATGAAAAATAAATCTGATGTTCCTCTACTATTGATCCAATTTTGTAACATGATAAATACCCAATTTGGATGTTATGTTAAAAGAATACGGACCGATAATGGCACTAAATTTCAGTCCAATATTTTATTGTATTATTACAAGTGCAAAGAAATATTATTGGAGACATCTTGCACATATACACCACAACAAAATGGCATTGTAGACCGTAAGCACAGACATATTTTAGAAGTTGCTAGAGCCCTCCATTTCCACTCTGGATTGCACATTGATTTTTGAGGAGAGTGCATTTTGATTGTCGTCTATATTATCAATAGATCCCATCACCCATTATTTCAAACAAAAGTCCATATGAAATGTTGTTCGGCAAAGTGCCTAGGTATGATTATTTGCGGGTGTTTGGATGCTTGCCTGCTTGGCATATGCACGTAATAATAACCAAAAGGATAAACTTGGCGAAAGGGAGAGTCCTTGCATTTTTATTGGGTATCCATACGCGCAAAAAGCTTATCGAGTTTTTGATTTACAAAATAAGTGGCATATAGTTCTAGAGAAGTAAATTTTTTGACGAATAATTCCCATTTAAAAATATCAAGGATCAAGACCTTGACCTGTGAGCTCTCATTGATCGTGTATATATTCATGTGACTAGTCAAAATTTCACAAGCATCCAAAATAACCCTCCACCGAGTAGGCCATTTTTTTGGCCACCTAAATACCTAATCACAATTGTGAACATTTCTTGTCAATTGGAGATGAGATTGGGCCCGTTACAAATGATGGCAGCGGAGAAGTTCAGTATCTAAGAGAACCGGGTCTCATGTGCATCAATGGACATTCATCACATGGCCTTGACATGGGGAATATTTTGGAAGTTATTAGTAACACTAATTATATAGAGTGCAAGTTTAGTGGAGTAGAAACAATGATAGCAATGGGATTTCTTTAGATGGCCAGAAGTACTAGTTAAGTGATATATTCCTCAACCTAGAATCTATAATTCAGAAGAACGGTGAATTTGATGGAGATGTATCACATAGAATCAGGACATGATAGATGAAATGGAAGACTGCAAAAGAATTTTCTATGTGATCGAGATATGCCAACATCACTGATGGGTAAGTTTTACCAACAATTAGACTTGCATTATTGTATGACGTATAGTGTTAGACAGTGAAACAAAATCTCATTTAAAAGATGAGTGTGGCTGGAATGTGCATGTTATGTTGGATGTGTGGACATACTAGAAAAGACTGTTTATAGAATGGACAATGCGGTAAAAGGTTAGAGTAGCATCTTACATTCAATAAGATGACGGAATCTCAATTGCGATGATATAATCATGTGTGTACAAAGACCAAATGATGCACATGTTAGAGGAACTGAGAGACGTGGGGCAAAGGCAAGGAAAAGGAGAAGGTGTTCGAAAAAGATGTGGATTGGAGTGATCAAAGATGATATGATGCTTCTAGAATGAGATGAAAGTATGACATAAAATAGAGAGAA